ATTGTTTGATGAGTTCATAGTAGGCGGATGGGATGAAACAACCTTGATCTCTGTTGATTGATGACTTGTTGCGGCGAATGTTGACTGCTTCTGTTAGTTTTCTTTGAGTGAAATCACGGAGGCTGTTGGCGAGGATTTGGACGTTGTCCCAGGTGATGATGTGATTGGGACAGTTGCTGATATGGTCCGAGATGGCTGATTTGCTGTCGGATTTGATAGTGGAGGTTTTATGCTCTTTCGTTCTGGTTTTGATTTGGCGGGATGTTTTACCTACTTAAGATTGTCCACAGTTGCAGTCAATTTTGTAAACTACACCTTTAGGCTCTTGGGGTTTGGTTTTGTTCCTGCCGTTGGCCCATAGCAGGGTTTTGAGGGAGTTGGAGCTGTTGGCTTGCTGTTTGAGGAGGCGGCTGATGATGTGGGAGGCTTTTTCCGATGAACGGGAGGGCGATGCGGAAGGGCGCTGATTCGGGTTTAAGGGTCGCAGGTCTCGTTGTGGGATGGAGTACAGAGGCGATGACTTTGTCGACGAGATTGGGTGGATAATTTTTGTTGAGGTGGGTGAAGACTTGGCGGAGGTGTTCGATTTCAGGATTGGGGTCAGCAGAGGAAAAGTTGAAGGCTCGTTTTGTGAGGGTGGAGATGATGCCACTCTTGGTTCTAAGAGGGTGGTTAGAGTTGAAGTGGTCGGTGTGGGTGGGCTTCCGGTAGACACTGGTTTGGATTCTGTTTGTTGGGCTTCTTGAGACGAGGACATTTAGGAAGGATAAAAGGTTGTCTTTTTCTATTTCGATTGTGAACTGTACTCGGGGGTGTTGTTGGGTAAGATGTTGTAGTAGCAGGGTTGGGTCTTGGTCTTGTTTTAGGATGACAAAGGTGTCGTCAACTTTTCTTGATCTTGGAGTAGGTGGTGGGGTCTTGGAGGATGTTGTTCACTAGCTCATGGAAGTGGTCAGTGTCCATGATGACTGTGGCCTTGCCCTTGTCAGCAGGGGCAATATCGATGGTGTTGTCATCCCGGAGTTGTTTAATGGCTTTAGTCTCAGCTCTGGTGAGGTAAGAGGTTTGCGATTTGGTTTTAGCAAGGATGTCACAGATCTGGTGACGCAGATAGTCAACCTTACCTCCTGGTGCCAGTTGCTGAAGCCCTTTCTTGGTGTTGGAGATGAAGTCATCGTGGTTCCGTAGTGGTCTGGTGGGGATGTATTTCAGGCCTTTCGACAGGACGTTAGTATGTTCTGTGGTAAGCTGCTTTTTGCTGAGGTTGATAACGGTCATACAGTGGTGCTGTTATATTTTAAGTCGGCTTGTTGTGTTGGTGTGGGGCTTCATGTCACTATTGGCTTCCACCTACATGTATGTGTTCTCTGTCCATCCTGTTGTTGTTGTTGGCAACACCTACCAATGTTATCCCACTCATGTATGCAATTGTTGTTACTGTTAATCCTCTGCTGGTATTCCTCCAACAACTATATATATTCTGCACTATGTCCCTCATTCACTACTACTTAAACTATATAACCTAATCTATCAAAACGGACAGGTACCAACTCCCTGGAAACAGGCACGAGTCATCCCTATCCCTAAACGCGATAAACCAACAAACGAGGCAAACTCTTTTAGACCAATATCCCTAACCTCAAATCTATGTAAAGTAATGGAATCTATGGCCAAAAATAGACTACAACACTACTTAACTCAAAATAACATCATAAACACAGATCAAAGCGGCTTCACTGCTGGCCCCTCAACCTTAGATAATCTCGCCTGACTAGAACAAGACATCAAGACAGGACAACTCAACAAACAATACACATCAGGCATCTTTCTTGATTTCTGCAAAGCATTCGACATGGTTTGGCACAACGGGCTAATACAAAAGCTTAAAAAAATAGGACTAAAAGGACAAATAATAAACTACATTCAGGACTTTCTAAACGAACGTACAATAACGGTGGGGATAGACCATACTCTATCGGACCAGTGTCCCCTTGAACATGGCCCTCCTCAGGGCAGTATCCTCAGCCCCACACTCTTTAATATAATGATAAACGACCTCTTCGAGGGCCTATCCCCTAAAATAAACACATCCAAATTCGTGGATGATGGAGCCCTATGGATCCGCACTAAAAGCATTAAAATGTCCCAAAATGTACTCCAAAAATCTCCTAATAAAATACAACAATGGGCTGACAAATGGGGCCTCTCCCTTAACTCAGAAAAAAACAAAACATGAATAGTATTCAAACATAAAAACATGAAACCCGCCTCCCCAATCCTCCAGCTAAACAACCAAACAATCAAATTTAAAAAACAAACCAAATTCTTAGGACTTATTTTCGATGAACATCTCATCTGGGATGCTCACATCCAAAACCTAACAACTAAATGCAGTAAAGACCTAAGAGGCCTAACTGGCTCTAACTCGGGAGCCTTCAAAGATACCCTCATCTCTCTCTACATATCACTAATTAGATCAAAACTAGACTACGGCTGCGCCATGTACAACACCCTAAACAACTCTCTATCTAAAAAACTTGACTCAATACAATATCAGGCTTTCAAACTAATTACACGCACCCAACATGGCACCTCCTACACTTCACTTCAGGCCTTAACAGGAGAAATGCCACTAAGTCTACGCAGGGAGCAGCTAAGCTTAAATTTCTGGGCCGCATCCCAATCAAACCCTCTAATCCAAAACTTAATAAACCAAAATATCATCCCCAAAAACCAATCTGTAGCTCGTAAACACTCCTTACTTACCCCAATATCCCAAAGAATAACAAACTACCTAAATGAACACCAAATTAAAAATCTTAAACAAAACTGCAAACAATCAAATATCTTCACCCCTAAACTTAAAATACCCAAAATAGACAGAACTCTAGCTAACCATAAAATAAACAAACCGACCCAAACATAGCTAAAACCACCACACTAGCATACATTGACGAAAATTGGCCAAATTGGTGTCACATTTACACGGACGGATCTTCAAATCCGACCTCCAAACACACAGGTTTCGGAGTCCATACCTCCATCCATCAAAAAAAATCGACAGAGTAATCACTAATCTCCAAACAGGACACACCAACCTAAATAACCACCTAAAATTTTTAAAAAAAAACATACTACAGGTAACTGCCCACTATGCAAACAACTAGAAACCCCAGAACACGCACTCATCCACTGCACACACTACCTAACACATCGAACCGCATTACAAACCACCCTCAATCTAAACAAGGTTCTCACTCTAGAAGCAATACTAAACCCACAAAATAAACTAGAAAACTTCTAGGCCTTAGGCGTATTCTTAATCAAAACGGAACTAATAAATCGCATCTAAAATCAAAATTACATAAACACACAAACATCCACCATACCCAGCTCCCTTAGTTCTCCTCCCCAACCCCATCGGCATCTATTCCAAATCTCAAACTTCCCAAAATTCTATATAAGCAACCCCTAAAGCCCCCTCTTGGGTTGCACACACCACTTTCGCCCCTTTCGGAAACACATTAAATGGCCTGGCCGGGCCCGTGTGCGAAATACGCATCAGTCTTAAAGCGCACGTTAAATCTCAAAAGTAAGTAAGTAAGTAACCCTCATTCTGTCTTGCTTGACAACGGTGTAAGGATCTAAACCGAGACGTCGCTTTTTCCAGTAGTAAAGAAGTTGTTATCCATTAAAATTGTGTCTATCTTGTTCTGAAAATGACATGTATCTGTTATATCTGTACATGTATGTGCATATGGTTGTTCTGAAAATGATATGTACCTTTTATACATGCATATGTATGAGTATATGGTTGTTTTGAAAATGATTATGTATCTTTTATATATGTACATGTATGTGCATATGGTTGTTCTGAAAATGGTATCTACCTTTTATAGTTGTCTATTGCGTGCATATGGTTGTTCTGAAAATGATATCTATCTTTTATATATGTGTATGTATGAGCATACGGTTGTTCTGAAAATGAAATGAGCCTTTTATATATGTATATGTACATGGTTGTTCTGAAAATATGAACGTTTTATATATGTATATGTATGTGCATATGGTTGTTCTGAAAATGATATGAGCCGTTTATATATGTATATGTACATGGTTGTTCTGAAAATGATATGTACCTTTTATTTATGTATATGTATTTGCATATGGGTTGTGCTGAAAATGAAATGTATCTTTTATATATATATATATATATATATATATAAAGATACATATTATATATATATATATGTGTGTGTGTGTATGTATGAGCATATAGTTGTTGTGAAAATAATATGTATCTTTTATATCTGTATATGTATGTGCATAAGGTTGTTCTAAAAATGATATGTATCTGTTATATTTGTATATATATATATATATATATATGTGTGTGTGTGTATATATTTGTTCTGAAAATGATATGTACCTTTTATATATGTATATGTATGAGCATATGGTTGTTCTGGAAATGATAAACACATTTGTATCAATTATGTATACCCTCAGCAGTGTGTGTGTTTGTAGGCAGTGTCTGTGTGTGTATGTGTGGACGTTGTGTGTGTATATGTGGACGTTGTGCGTGTGTGTGTGTCTGTGTGGACGTTGTGTGTGTATATGTGGACGTTGTGCGTGTGTGTGTGTATGTGTGGACGTTGTGTGTGTGTGTGTGTGTGTGTGTGTATGTGGACGTTGTGTGTGTGTGTATGTGTGGACGTTGTGTGTGTGTGTGTGTGTGTGTATGTGGACGTTGTGTGTGTGTGTATGTGTGGACGTTGTGTGTGTATGTGTGGACGTTGTGTGTGTATGTGTGGACGTTGTGTGTGTATGTGTGGACGTTGTGTGTCTGTGTCTGTCTGTGTGTGTATGTGTGGACGTTGTGTGTGTGCCTGTGTGGATGTTGTGTGTCTGTGTGTGTATGTGTGGACGTTGTGTGTGTGTATGTGTGGACGTTGTGTGTGTGTGTGTGTGTACATGTAATTACTCCCAAATCCTCTTACCTTCTTGTTGATATGTGGACGGTAAGTTGATAAATATTAGTATCCCTGGTATAATCAGACATCTCAATGGCGACGTCATCTGAACAAAAAGGCATGTGTTAACAACAGGCAAACCATGATTTCAATAAACAGACACATATACCTGTTCATATGTTACAGAGCAGAGACACGTGGCATATCATTAAACTCTGAACTGAAAACATAATCATGATAGTAAGGGTTAAGATGTTCGGTTTATGAATAAAACACCCGATCCGTCGAACTTCTGAAATTAAAATGTTTCAGTTTGTAGAGAAAAAGTGTCTGGGTTTTTCCCGATCGGTCGAATATATGCTACCACTCAACCATGACTACTCACTGGGCGCATCTACTTTCACTAATTAAGGGGTGAACGGATGGTAACAGTGAAAAGATGGGGAGATTAAGCTTATATGATTTAAAATGAAAACACAAAATATGCTTGTTTCATATTGTTGAGTCAAACGTGGCATGTTGAGCTCGGAGATTACTTATGACAACATTACTTCAAAAGTTGCGATCTTACAAGGAGATTATAAAATGAATTGATGTTTTTATATAAAACAAAGGTGATCTTTGCCGCTGAGACGTGGTGAGAGAGTCCTCATGGACTATGTTGATCATGTGGCAAACCTTCTCGGTGTGTGGTGACATTTGTGAATGAAATTTGAGACTGAAACTATGATGTATTTATTGAACATGAAGAACGACAGTTTTAATTAATAAAGATCATTGATGAACGAAGATCACCTGATAAATAGTTGTGTTGGTATATGGATGTTAACATGACTATTGTTAACGTTTTTATGAATAAAGATCATTGATGAATGGAGATTACTTGATAAATATTTATATTAATGATAATTTATTATTTTTGTGTATATATGTTAACGTGGCTATTGTAAACGTTTTTATGAATAAAGATCATGAAACTTGTTTGAATCATCAAGATAAACTAAATGTTTGATAATATATATATTGATTATTTATTATGCTGATATTGCTGTATGTATGTGAAAATGTATTGTTGTATCCTTGTCACAACAGAATAAAGAGTCCTCGTGTCAGGTGTCATATACTGTCCCTAACAGCGTCAAGTTCCCTATCACCCAATGAGAGAAAAATAATGGAATACTCTAACTGCAGACCCGTTAAGTAAACACGAATATACTTTCCCGATCCGTAGACTTATTTTACCTACCTTAATTTCAGAAATTCAACGGTTGGGTGAACACCGTTTAAGTACATAATACAATAGTAATAAAAATAATTTTAGTCGTGACCATAAAAAAACCAAAAACACCTGAACCAGGAAGTGGAAAACCTGCGTAACCTTGGAAACTAGCTCCGTGAGTGTAGTTCCATTCACAATATAGACAGGGTCACACCCAATATTGATATGTTGTGACCGGTTGGAGGGAGGTCCTCTTGGCCTCACCCTTCCAGCAAGTCACTGGTCCCACACTCCACGTGATTGTGAAAAAAGCTCCGAGCCTATTGTACATTGGACCGCCACACGCGAATGTCGACGACACGTCCCTGGTATGTCCGCTTCGCCTACAACAGTCTACCCAAGCTGCTGTAGGCTGATTTGTCGGGTAGGCCATGTTATGCGGTGCGTGGATAAATTCTATTATAATACCTTTTTGATACAGTCCGGTAAGAAAGGGATTTGAAAGCAGATTAGATTCCTATCAATCATGGGTATTGATTAAGTGGAATCGGATATTAACTTCTTGCTAAAATTATAAAGAGAAATCACGTATGTGTTCATGTACCCGAACTTGACTAGGTAGAACATATATGTGTGAGAAACTACACGTAACGAAGCTCAGGATCAATTAATATATTCAGATATGTTGTTTCATTACCTTGCTACGAATGCCGTCATTGACGAGCTTTTCCTCCCTTGTGTCGACAACCACACATCCGTCAGCTGTTATCAGCGCGGTTGGACCAAAACGCCTTTTGTCGCCAAACCAGACAAACAACTTCGTTCTATTATAAACCTTCGTGCATGCATTGATAGTTTTTGTAGTGCAATGTAGTGCATTGGGTTATATCACGTGGTTACATGACTACAGATCGCCTTAATATATGTTATGTGTTGAGTGTTTGTTACGATGTAAATTGTAATAACGCGGTTAATTTTAATAAACTGGGGTAAAATGTAATAACACTGCAGTAAAATGTAATACTGCGGTCAATTGTAATACATACTGCGGCAAATTGTAATAACTTAAACCGCGGTAATTATATATATATAAATTGTAATGAAACTGCGGCAAATTGTTATAACCACTGCGGTAAATTGTAACAAAACATTTTTAATTTGCAAATGTACAAATAAACATGCATGAAGTTTAAATTGAGCGACTAGGCTGTTTGGAAATCAAAATCGGGACTTTGAAACGACTGATTGATCAATACTAATGTACATTAAATTCATGGTATTTGTATTTACTCAGAACACTTATTCGAGTTCCAGTGTTTGTTCGACCTTAACCAGATCAATTCCAACCTCCAGCATGCTTAAGGAAATCGAAAAAAGCGATTTGGCTTCAATTTCTATCATTCCTGCTGAAAGACAGGTGCGACAAATTGTAACAAACTGTGGCAAATTGTAATACCAAGTGCGGTAAATTGTAATAACATCCCTTAATCCTTCAACCTGTGAAGATCCGGGTTAGAATAGGTCTTCAGCAACCGATGCCTGCCGTAGTAGGCGACTATGCTTGTCGTAAAAGGCGAGTAGCGGAATCTAGTGGTCAGGCTCGCTGACTTGGTTGATGCATGTCATCGATCCGAATTGCGTGGATCGATGTTCATGCTGTCAATCACTGGATTGTCTGGTCCAGACTCGATTATTTGCAGACCGCCGATTTGCAGACCGTGATAACATCTTCCGATTTCAAACTGAATTCGAGTTCAAGTGTTTGTTCGACCTTAAAATGATCAATTCCAACCTCCAGTATATTTAATTAAATGAGAGGCGATTGTGTTTCAATATCCAGTGTCCTCCCGGTTTAGAGGCGCGCAGCTGCGGCATTTTGTAAATAAAACTGTTTTGAAAATTACATGTCTGTTGTTATATATCATATTTATTATTCTGTTAGGAGAAAGGCCCATTTGTTGAAATGCCAGTATGATGAATTGTCAGAGTGGGGAAAGGTCCTCCACTCGTGATCAACACTTCATAATTAAGCAAAGATATATATATACTGGAAGAGAAATTTGTTTTCTCTCCATACCGGACATCAAAGACAGATAACTACATAGAAAACTAATATACCCTCAAATCTGCCTAACATTGCCCACTCTTACCATTTATAATTACATTTGTGAAAACAGAAGTAATAATATATACACGATTTTTCAATACACATTCAAGAGCGATGCAATTATTAGTTGTTTAATAACATGAGCTTTTAGGGATGCCATATATAATTATGTATGTTGAATTAGTGACCTATATCACAAAGTGTTACAATCGAGAGACATTGTTATTTTGTTCCATCACAGCTCTTCTCGCTTCTGCAGATTTATATACATTGCAAGATTCTTTAAAATGTCTCCATGTTTATTGGACATGAGGGTATAACATTTATGTATTGAAGGATTGACACAGATTTTTGCTGGTATATAATACTTCCTGATGGATTGATTTAGATTACATTTAGATACATTTCAAGAGCAAATGAAGTTTTATACATAAAATGACTATACGTTTTTAACCGTTTTGGAGGGCGTCATGCCAGTTTTGTTCGTAGGAAGACTTTAGCCGAAATGTAAATTCTGAAAGAAATGTTAGAACAGATTAATGTTCCCAAATATAGCCCAAACCAGAGCAAGTGCTTAATCTTAGATACCCAGTTGATCTTTCCGTTATTTGCAGATAACAACACCTTATTGTAACATTTTTTTAACATAGCGTTTTTCAGGAAAATTTACAACTCGTCACCAGTATTTTACAGCACTTTTGTAAGCATATTATATACCTAAGGGATATCTGACAAATTCTCCTCTTACCATATGACTTGGAGTTGATCATTTTACGCGAAATATGTCTCTGTTGGCAGGGCTTGAATTGCTGACAATGTCTTGTATAAACCACACATAACCGTTTTTGTTTGCAACGTGGCATTTGCACCATGCTTATTCCATGACAAAGATTTAGAAAATATTATTCCAAGGTACGAATACAATGTAACACAATCTATTTATGTGTTTTGATTAAGTTCAATAATAAACATTGGGAACAATAGTGGGATAAGAACGCACCCTCCTCTACATTTTATAACATACCACAGTTTATTTCTATTAACTAAATCGTACAAACCACAAAGGCCACGTACAGCTTGCCGCGTTTTTTACATGTTCCTCTGTATTATAGAGTGCAAAATAGGAAATTTGTCTGTGGTGCTGTAACCCTTTTGGAATGTTCCTTGCGATTCATATATTCATATGCCTCCGACCAAAATGTCAAATCGCTTATTTTATATAGATGTATATAATTTGCTAAAAATTATGAAGAAATGCGTCCATATTGGGTTGTCGCAAAATGAATCGCTTCTTTACATTCCCTGCGGCGAAAGTCGCAAACGAATAGGTTATGGATATTCCATGAAGTATCAATCATAAATGAAGCCTTCCATTATAGAAATAGTGCTTTTCTAATATTAGCTAAATGGTTCTGCTCTTTCAGCATAGCGGCAGCCTTCCGCTATAAAAATAGTTCTTTTCTAATATCTATGTTATAACTTAATGATACTGCTAGTTTCTAACCTTCAGCACAATGGCAGCCTTCCGCTATAGAAATAATGCTTTTCTAATATCCATGTTTGATGATACTGAGAGATTTGAACCTTTAGATCAGCGGCAGCCTTCCGCTATAGAAATATTGCTTTTCTAATATCCATGTTTGATGATACTGAGAGATTTGAACCTTTAGATCAGCGGCAGCCTTCCGCTATATAAATAATGCTTTTCTAATATCCATGTTTGATGATACTGAGAGATTTGAGCCTTTAGATCAGCGGCAGCATTCCGCTATAGAAATAATGCTTTTCTAATATCGATGTTTAATGATACTGACTAGTTTCTAACCTCTGGCACTAGCAGAGCTGCAGCCTTTCGCTATATGAATGATGTGAGTTTTTTTCATATTGATATTTTAATTAAACGGAACGTTGCAATCATTCCACTTAACCATACACCGTATCCATAGGTCTTCTGATATAATCTGATGGAATTATATGTTACTGAAAACACAAGTAACTGATACAACACTTCCTCTAGTTTACCACGTGATGAAATACACAACATCATCAAGAAACTAATGTGGCTAATCCCAAAACAGGGTCATCATTATATTTGCTACTTGTCAGACGCATTTATTGCCGAACACCGAAAAAGCCACTTTTGCAAAATTCCTTATCCTTGTAAAATCGTGGGAAATAATGACATTCTTTATCATTAAATTATGTGCCCAGCATCAAGAAAAATGGTGATACATTGCATTAGATGATCCAAATACATAAAATGCATTTTTCTTTTAGTGATGCATTATATTTGTAACTTACAAATTTCTTTTGTCATTTTACATTCACATTTACATCGTTTTTATATGAATGGTACAAACGTGTACTGGAATATCGTATTTTATAAACGATAATGTATAATTAGTGTGTTCATTAGTGACCATATGCATTATGAAATAATACGTTTGTTCTTGTATATGGGCAGTGGTAAATGTCCTGCTTCACCATACAAGACCGGAGTATTAGATTAAGGATTAACAATAAGGACACTTATCAAAATCAGAAAATGTACCACAACCATACAACGTAGCGGGAGACAATGATATCTGTCCATGATCAAAACTGTTATAAATGCATTGAGTAAGTGTATGTTTTAGATCCTTTTCATGAAACGTACACATTCGTCGTATATGCATATGCTATTTCAAGAATTTTACCCATTAACTTCTAGCGAACGTCTATATTTATTAAATATTATTATTCAGTTTATGAATGAATCAATGAGTTTAACGCCGCTTCAGTTATATTACGCCGTTAAAGTCTATTATAAGTCTACCAGACCGGGTCCATTACCACTGTCACGTATTGAATCAACCACAAACACAAATGAAGTTGTAATAAAGATTTATTCCCTCCCTTAAGTTAATTTTAAAACACAATAACAATATTTAAATACAAACTAATACCAAATTAACTAACACAACTAACTAAACTAGCTTCTCCTACAACTAACAATACTACCATCTACTACTAATACTAATATCTTAATACTAACAGTACAAATGTCTACTACTAATAATACAACTATCTACTACTAAGAAAACAACTATCACGATACACTATCCTAATACTAAGAGTATACTTTTAACAATACTAACACTAATACAAATGTTCTAAGAATAACACAACTAATACACAGTAATAAATTTGTGGGTGTACATATATACAACAACACAAAAACACACCCAAAAAACACACCAAAAGATACAAAGCCACTTCACTGTCACTGTCACACAGTTGTATACAGAACTTTGGAATCTCTGATGTTACTGAGCAGTTCACACGAGAATTCTTCCTCGTAAAAACGAATGGTGATCTTTCCACCCAGGCGATGTTGTCCCCACGGAGTTAAGGGTGCCTGTTTACTTGGATGCCACGGCTGTGTTCATCCTATGATGTGCACACGGAAACGGAGATACTTCTCTCCTTACGTAGGGTCGGAGAACTTCTCTCCTTACGTGATGTTGGAGGTTGATACTTCCTCCTACGTACTATAAGGTTAACCGGCCAGTTCCGGGACAGCCAACTAGAGTAGAAGTCTCCCACAATGTTAGTCCATGCCTTACATGACCAAACTGATTCTGGCTGACTGTACAAATTATTACCCTGCCCGCTATTTAAACTGACCCCAAAGCCCAAGCTACCCCTGACCTCCCTATTGTTACACCAA